GACCCCCCGAATATCTGGTGATCCTGCCAGTCTGATTTGCACTGGCCGGCTTCCTGTTCTATTCTGTCAATAGATTAGAGTAGACGTAAACACTAACTGGATGCCATCTAGTTTTGCACTGCGTATCATTAGAATTATAATGTCCTTTGTTCCTTTAAAAACACTGTTTTCACCTATTTTATCCTATTTTGCATCTCAGTGCGGCTGGTTTTCTGCAGCCACACTTAGCTACTTCCTGTCTACATGCAAACATCCACTGGCAGCTACATGCCATTGCTGGAACAGGCTTCCTGGTCTTAGGGCCGGTTCACAATACAAAGTCTGCGTTCCAGTGCGCTTAGCCTCTGGAACGCACTGGAACCCAAGCCAGACGGCTCCCTGAACAGGAGCCAGCCTGGGAGGGGGCATAGCAGTGCATTGAAGTCAATGGCACCACAGCCACACACACACCCCCGCCCGCAAGCGGAACGCAGGCACATTAGTGTCTGCGTTCCGGTCCAGTCCCATCTGCAAAAATACTGCAAGCACAAAGTCGTTTATAGTCTGTACTGGGAGTGCTTATGACAGAGAGACAATGCAGGAGAGAAACTGGTAGATAGGAAAACAGTGTTGCCACCTCTTAACGGGAAATGCCTGAGCAACCTTAATGGCAGGATCAACAGTTATTATTTTAAAGGATTCTGCAGATACAAAAAGTTTGAAACTCGCTTTTTTGAATTAACATTAGATTATTTGAGATTGGCAGGGCCATCACTATAATGAGGCAGCCTGAATCTGCTGCCTCAGGCGACATCTCATTGGGTCATGTGAGGGGGGGAAGGTGGCAGGTGTGCCTGCTGCCTCCTTTCTGGCTAGAGTGTCCCAGGTTGCTAACAGCCGATAAAAGGTACCCTAAAAAAAGGTATTGCCTAGACTTTGACTTATTGAAAATAGGGCTAAATATCTATTAATGTCGCCTATTGCCTTTTAGAAGCTTTCTACATAGTTTGCATTTACAGCTACTTTAAACTCTTTCCACTTACTTTTTACAAATGTCTGACGCTTATTTGATAATAGGTTGGAGAGATGCTACCGCAGTTATCTCTTCAGATCTTGGGGTATCTATGGTAGCACTTTCCCAAAGAGTGTTCTGTCTAGGTTCTAGATCCACATCTTCGTATCTTTCTTCTCTTGTAGAACCTCTAAAAGTAAACAGCTTTGTTAGTCATTGAAAAATAAATAATGAAACTGGATGTGTTGAGTTTCAGTCTGCCAAGTAATGTTTGCAGAAGTAAAAAACAAATGGTTGTATGACATCTGCTTTGCGATGGTTTAAGACAATGGATGCACTGTTATGGGGATACAAATAAAGTTTGAACCTTGTGAACGCAGCATGTGTCTAGTTTGATGTTCTTTGTTCCGTTCCTGTGTCTGGTTCTATTTGAGGCTTAGGTTAAAGCCCAGTGACGAAGTGGCCTATTACAGACACATTTTAATTGATCATTTTATCAAGATTTGCCAGCAACCGTTCAATAAACAGACCAACTAATGTTACATTCAATAACGTT